GGGGGCGCCCGCAGCCCACCCGGGGGGAGGCGGCCCCGAGCGACCCTGAACCTTCTTATGGCCCGGGCTGGGGCCCGGGGCCTCGGTTGCTGACGCGCCCGAAGCCCGCGGAACCCGTTAAGCCCGGGCCGCGGCGCCGACCCCGGCTCAGGCACAGCAGCGAGAGGGCGCGGGCAGGGCCATGGCCCCGGGGGGCCGCTAACGCGGGCCGGCCCAACCGGGAGCCGCTCTGCCGCCGCCGCCCGGGAGCCCAGGCCCCACTGCCGCGAAAGAGGTGAGTGCGACGGGAACCAGGAGGGAGGGGGCAGGCGACCGGGCCAACCCGCGATCCCTCTGGGACCTGCGGCACCGCAACTCTGCGGAAGTGTGCGGGGCGCGGGCCTCTGAGAGCCAGGAGGCTTCCCGCGGACTCAGGGTTGACAGGACTGGCGTGGGCGCTGTACCTGTCGGGGCTGCCTGGACTCTTAGCATCCGGGCGACGTGGGGATGTGTGGATGATGTGGCCTGCGGGGTCACCAGTGCGCAAAGCAACTTTTTCCCGTAAGGTTCTGGGTGGGTGGGTGCTCTCAAACACCCCCACGTCCACGTTCCTGGAGCAGGAGTCCAGGTGCCCCTTCTCCTGGCTCAGCTGTCTCTCCCACCAACGAACGCCTCAGGCAGTGCTCTTCCCCAGTAGGTGCGCCTGCCTTGCCTCAGTGTCCCAGACAGTCTGCTGGAAGGGAAGCGCTATCCTGGCACCCCCACGTGGAGGGTCTCCCAGATCAGCAGGACAGGAGGACCACCAGCCCCCGAGGCTTTTTTCCCAGCACTCTGCCAGCCCCTGACCCCCAGGTGCCAGCTTGGGTTTGCTTTTCCAGCCGGGAATCTTGCCTGGATTAGGGGCCCGGCTGTATGTGGGGTGTAAATGAGCTGGGAGAGCCTGCAGCCAAGCCCCCATGTGGGCAGCCTGGAGCCCCAGTGGAGAAGTGGGCAGGAGATACTAGGAGCTTGGTGAGCTCTCCTAGAGCAGATGGGACCAGAGAGTGTCAAGGTGGCTCAGAAATGAGGCAGCGATGGCAGGAGGGGTCAGTGGGAGCTAGGGCTGGGGGCCTGGCTGGATAAATAACTTCTAATTCTTGAGATAACTGTGTTGTGAACACTAGCCCATGAATAGCTGGAGGAGGGGGACAAACTGAAGGCACTGGCATGTCTGCCCTGGAGCTGGGCCAGGTTGGGGGTTCCTGTCCTGAATTCACCCCGATTGTCTCCCAGAAGCCCCTGTCCTAGTTGCAGATAGGGAAACTGCACCTAGGGGTTGGGAAGCTCATCCCAGCCCAGAAAGTTGGATGGAGCTGGAGTCTTTTCACAGGCTGCACAGGGAGTGTGGCTGGACTGGTGGGTTATGGTGTCATGGAAGGTGAGGGCACTGGGCACACCTACTCCTGCTGCTGCCCCTCCGTTCTGAAAGAGCCAGGTCCGGAAGTGTGGGGGTGGGGAGAGAGAAGACCAGCAGCCCAGCCTCTTCGCCCCCCACTCCCTCCCCTGCTAGGCATACCTTGAGGAGGAGAATGGAGCCAAGTCCAGGTGACCTTGACTGGAAACCCTGACCATGAAAGCGGGGGTTTCAATCCCAGCTATGCTGGGGTGGCTTGCTTCTGGGTCCATGGGGTGTTGGGGGAGGGGTAAGCCAAGGAACCAGGAAGGAGCTCTGGCCTGCCAGGGGAGTATCGGAGGGGCTGGGTAGGGGGTGGGGTGCTGTTAATAATTTGTTCCCCATCTCCCCCCATAGCCCCTGCTCCTGCCTCCCTTCCACCCACGCAGTTCTTAGCTCAGAGGAGCCAACCTCCCTTCCCTGAGGCAGGCTGTCCACCCACCCCCCCAAACTCCACACCTGGGAGGTCTGGATCAGGCTGGACAATTCTACCATCTAGCCCCCTGCCCCGCCCCCAGGTGCCTCCAGACCTCTCGTCAGGCCGCCCTTCCCCGCACCCCTTGCCAACCCCAGCTCCTCGGTTCTTTGTTCGAGCGTCTCTCCTCTGTCCCTCCCTCTCTCCTCCCTCTCTCCTCCTCCCTCCCTCCTGCCTCCCTCCCTTGCTCCCTCCCACCAGCCTTCCTTCCTTCCTTCTCTGCTTTCCTCCTGGTGGGCTCCCAGGTGGTGGTGGTTGTTCCTTCTCTGTCCACCCACTTGGACTCGGCTGGACTGGGGGCTTCTCTGGGGCTGGGGCTGAGTGGAATGCATCTAGGGGCTGGCAGAGGGGAAGCTACAGTAGAAATGCCCTCCCCTTCCCTCTCTCTGTCCTTCTCTTCCTCTTCCTTCTCTCTCCTTCTTTCCTTCTCTCTTCCATCCCCCAGGCTGCCAAAGAGGGGGCCCAGACTTGGGCCTGAGGCCCCAGCAGACTTGAACTTCCCCCATTCACCCCTTTAAAGGGCCAAAACATTGTAGGATTTCCATGTAGGGGCCCAGTGGGGCAAGGCCATCCACCTTCCTGGATACCTTGGGGGACTCCCAACACTATCCTTGGTGACCCTCACCTTGTCACTATGAAAATAGATGCAGGAGAAATGAGGTCACAGGGAAGGTGAGTCAACCTGAATCCCCTGATACATAGAATCAAAGCTCTCTGAGGGACCTAGACTGCATCTTCCCCTCCCCAAGTCAGGACAGTGTCTCCCAACTTCCTTGAGCCCCACCCCAGCAGCAGATCAAGTTCTTGAGCAAACACATGCTTGTGAGGACGTGTGTGGGCGTGCAAATGTGGATGTTGTGTATCCACAACTGTTAGTGGGGGCTGCCCAGGTGCACCCCGGGGGTGATGTTCGTTTCTCCTACCTGTCCCCTCATCAGAGCCTGCCCTTCAGTCAGCACCAGCTTTGTGCCCCAGCAGACTGGGGGAGGGGCTGGTTCTGATTCTCCCATCCCCCAGCCAGCCTCCCCAGGAGGGAGTATCTTTGATGGGGGATCTTGAAAGAAAATGAGAGGTGTGTCAGGCACTCAGGGGAGGTGTTCCCACAGAGTGAACCACGTGGGGACTGGGTCAGGTGGCCTGAAGCTGCATATCCTGTCTAGGGAGAGCACCAGGGTCTGTCGAGTGGGGCCTGACAGTCAGATGTACAGCCTCAGCATATATTAGCCCGTGCAAGGGAGTAACAGGCCACAGTACCCCTGACCTCCCGCCCCAAGAGTCCTAGAAATGGGCCTGGCTTCCTGCCTCCCGTGGGAGATGGGAATAGACAAGGCAGATCAGGGGGATGGGACTCACAATGTTGTTCTTGGTGCCCACACCCCCTGTGCATCTGGGGGGGTGGTTGGGAGTTGGCGCTGGTTTTTGCCAGGAGGGAACAATATGTTCTGACAACTGGTACTGGGCTACGTTTACCCAACAGCCAGCCTGCCTGGTGAGACAATATTTGAAAAACATAGTATGGAAACTTGGACCTTCTGGGAGTGTGGGAGTTCTGCAGGGGACACTGCAGGCCCACCCCAGACCTGCTGGCCATTCTAGCTCCCCTTCTTCACCCTCTGGAGGCAGAGCTGGAACTTTTCCTGGCAGAAAGTCCTTCTGTATGTCTGACCTGGATCCTTCCTGCTGTGATTTCAGTAAAAGTAGATCGTGCTATTCTTTGCCTCTCATTTTCAGGCTGCTGACTTCCACTTTCGGCTGTCTATGTGTGTCTCACTCATCCTCCACTCTCTCTCTTGCCCGCTACCCTAATAGTCAGGTCCAGATTTCCCTGTAGGAGGAGAGATTTGGCTGGAGCAGGCAGGCCTGGACCCCTCCCTTGAGGTAGGAGAGGGAAGGAGCAGCTCCTTTGATTGGGAGTGGGTGCAAGGGAGAGAGCCTGTTGGGAGTTGGAAAGGGCTGTGAGAGCACCTGCTTGAGCTGGGCCCTGTGAATAGAATTCAGGATGCTGTCGTGGGGGGAGTGTTTGAGTCTCGGGTGGCCCCTGTTGACTCTGGTGACCCCAGGCTGCATCTGGTTACTTGGTCTTCAGGCCCATTGGCTACACCTACCCAGAAAAGGCAGGGACAAGAAAATATGTGAGGTTTGCACACTGGGGCACTCAGGCCCCAGGCTGAGGGTGTGGGCAAGGAGACACCCATCACCCTGTTTGTTCAGATAGGGAGACCAAGGTGCCTTGGGCAGAGTTACACAAGGGAAATGTTGGTAAGGCGAGACTCCCCTATCTGCCTCATGCATTCCAATCTTGGTTCCCCCCTCCCAGGTGTCCAGACAGCAGAGCCTGCTTCCTGGGCCCTAAGCCCCTCCCACAATGCCTGTTGCTGGTCTCCTCCTCTGGGCTTCCCTACTGACTGGGGCCTGGCCAGCCACCCCGACCCAGGACCACCTCCCAGCCACACCCCGGGTCCGGCTCTCATTCAAAGGTAAGAGGCTGCCTTGCTGTTCCCTAGCATCATCCTCAGCACTTGGTCTCATTGCATGGGAGACAGAGGAGAGGTCAGAGCAAAAAGGACAAATTGTGCAAACGCATGAGTCGCCCTGGGTACGTGTGTGTGCTAGGGGGATAGAGGAGGTAGGGACTTGCTTGGAAAGGCTGGAGACTGGACCGCTTAGACATTTTGGAGAAGGGGCCTGAGTCTGGGCCCCCTCTAAAGTTAGAATGTGGGGTCTCGGGCCGGATAGGGTCTGCAGAGCATCTCCCTTTGTGTGATAACTGGGGAGACAGAGATGTGACTCTTTCCAAACTTGTTTGCTAAAGCCCTTCTTTGCCACTGCTATGTGTCTGGCCCTGCCTTGGGCAGTCCCTGGGTTGGAGGGTCGGACAGTTGGGCACTGAGGCCTCAGGAAGCTGGAGGAGCAGGACCTGCTCTGCTGGGGTGTGGGTGCTTGAGGAACTTTCCTTTGGGTCTCCAGGTGGGAGGGGTTCCTAGGAATTGGGGAGGGTGCTACTGGCTGTAACTGGAGGCTAGGTGAGTTCTGGGAGAGTGTGGGCTACTGTGAGAGGCCTGCATTCCTGAGATCCCCAATGAGCACTTTGCCTTGGCAGTCACTGGAAGGTTTTAATGATGGGTTGGGGTCTCAGAGTGAGAGGCTGGTCCCTCAGTTCCATCACCTTTGCCCCTAACCCCCTGGGCAGGTGAACACACCTGGCGTACACACTCAGGTGTACAGATGGCTCACTCTCTAGGCACTTCCTTGAAGTTGTGTGTGATCAGAAGAGTCTACCCTTGGCATGGGGTAAGGAGCAGCGGCCATGTGGGCGCCTGGGGGACCTGGGGTCAGTGCTGAGTTCTCAGCCTTGGCCCTCCTCTGGCCCGAGGTTACTTCGTCCAGCGCCTGCCCTGGGTGGGGCCGACTCAGCCCTGACTGGCCAGATTTCCAGGCACACATATGGAGTGAAAGGCTGAGCCGACCTTTTTCCTTCCTCGGGCTTGACTGAGGCCCAGCCCCAACCTCCTCACGTTCCCATGTCCCCCACCCAGCAGAGCTCCTACCCTGGCCTCATCCCACCTCTACAACTTGAGGGAGAGAGTGGGGAATGAATTTATGAAGATGTGCCTAGAAGGAGACCTGTGCAGGGCCTGAGAAATGGGCAGAAGAGTTGATTAGTTCGGGCTGTAACAGCACCCCCTCCTGGGCCTGGGAAGGTGAGACGTTTATTCTGCTGATGCCTCCACCCTTCCCTGGTGGAATTCCTCAGAGCAGATTAATAAATCTTCAGGGGCCCTGATTCTCCCCTCTCACCTCCTCCCCCAGGGTGCTGCTGGGGGAGTAGAGTGTCCCCTCTCCCCAGAGGTGGAGGGAGGGGTGGCTTGGTCTCTACATTCCTGGGGCCCTGAAGCCCAGGCATCCACTCTGGGTATTATTTCTGTCATTACCCTGGAGACCCATGAGAGGAAGCAGGAGAGATGAGACATGGGAGGTCTCCTGTATGCTTCTTTTGAAACTTCTCAGACCTCCAGGGGCAAAAGGGCAAAGGCTTTTGTTCCTGTTTTCCAGAGAGAGAAACTGAGGCTCACGCAAGGGCAGGGCCAAGGACAGGCAGGAGGCAGAGGCGAGGCCAGAAATAGAACCCTGGTGTCCTGGCCTTGCCGATGCCTGACACCCACATTGATGGTCAGGTTGATTCCCTCTCAGTTAGCTCTGAAGCTGACACCCGCAGTGACGAAAAGCCCAACTCGCTGGCAGCCAGCCTACGGTGCTGAATGCTGGTGCTGAATGCTGTGGCAGCCTGGGGTGGGGCTATAGGATGCCTGGGGCCATCCCCCGCCTGGGACTTTGTGCATTTGCACATGCAGGTTTCCCTGCCCTGAGTGACCTTTCCTGTTCTCCACTTGGTCTTGTGTCCTAGTTTTATACTTAGATGTCACTTAGTGTAGCGGATACTTGATCACTTACTGTGCACCAGGCCCTGTGCTGAGTACTGGCGACACTGCACTGAACAAGATGGAGTGCTCACAGTCAAACTGGCTGAAAAGACAATGGACACCCAGTTGGTCAGTGCCACCTGGGAGCCCAGCACTTACTGTGCACCAGGCCCTGTGCATCCCCCTGTGCTGGATGGTCTCAGCCAGGTCATGTACACGAAGTGGCCCTCAGTGAGGAGTAGGCCCTCACCAAGCGGTTGTGGAGTGAGAATGGAGACCAACACCTTCAGCAACTGGGATCCCACAGTCAGGCTGGGGATGGGGAAAGGGGCGGGGCTTCTTCCTTGTACACATGATGGGCACAGAGAGAGTTGCTGTCAGAAGCGCTGGTGGTCACCCTGGCTCCATGCCTCAGTCTCTCTATGCCATGGATGGATATAGCGGCTGGCATACCAGGCCTCAGGGACTCAGCCTAGGCACATCTCCTCCCCTGCCCTGGCTCCTGCTGCAGTTGGGAGGTGCTAGTTCTGGCCTGGTCGGGCCAGACCATCCAAGCCAGAGGTGCTGGCGTGAGGGGCCTTGCTGCCCAGGGCAGATAAAGGGACAAAGGCAGGAACTGGGCCAGGCTTGGGCTTGCTGCCTGTGCATCCGCCTGGGCACGCCTGCCCAGGCCTAAAGCCGAGAGAGTGTAAAGGGAGAAGGGGTCCTGGGTTCAGTCAGAGTTGGGGGCTCATATGGCCCATCTCCTGAGCTTCCAACAGCAGCACAGCCCAAGTTAGGCAGAAGTGAGGGGTCAAGTGGGGAAGATTTCCAGGAGCAGGCGAGGTATTCTCTAAAAGCTCATGGATGGGGCCGGCCCCGTGGCTTAGCGGTTAAGTGCGTGCTCTCCGCTGCCGGCGGCCCGGGTTCGGATCCCGGGTGCGCACCGAGGCACCACTCCTCCAGCCATGCTGAGGCCGTGTCCCACGTACAGCAACTAGAAGGATGTGCAGCTATGGCAGACAACTATGTACTGGGGCTTTGGGGGAAAAATAAATAAATAAAACCTTTAAAAAAAAAAAAAAAAAAAACTTTAAAAAAAAAAAAAAGTTCATGGATGCTTGGGACTAGAGAGCCTGGCTAGTGGGATCCTCTTTCCTTCACCCATCTTTGCCTGGGCCTGGAGGCCCCTTAACCCAGAATCAATGGGCAAGTCTGGGAGAAAAAGCTCTCCCTTCCCCCACCCTGGGATGGCCCAAGCCCTGGGGCACCACCTTGGGCTGTAGCAGGGAGGTGTGTAGGCCCTGTCAGGTCCTTTGTTCAGCTTGGGAATGTTTACTTTTTCCCAGGAAGCCACCCGCACATCGGCTGCTGCCTGGGCTGGCTTTGGCCAAGACTTGGGGCCATGAGGTGTTTGGTGGAGAAAAGGAGTCTTGTGATGACATGAGGTGGCTGGGCTACTGGGGAAACTGAGGCAGGAGTAGGGAGATGGAGCAGAATGTCACCTTGCCATGGGAGGGCAGGAAAGATGAAAATAATAGAAATAACAGTAGGTGCCCATGATGATAACCAAGTAGCGGTTCCTTCAAGGCCTGAGAGGGGTCTCCTGTGAGGCATGAGACCCAGAGGCTTCCCAGGTCTCTCAGGAGCAGGACTAAGATGGAGCCTGACTCTGCCTGATGTCTGAACCTGTCCCAGGACTAAGAGTGGAGAGTGGGGTGGGAGATGCAGGCACAGCCCTCTCGCATGAGCTACGGACAGAGTTCTAGGATCCCACAGTGCTGGCTTTAGCCTTCCCAGCGTCATTTCCCAAGGAAAGGGCTGGGGTCGCAGTGGGTAGGCTTCTCAGGCCTTCTACCCACTGAAGCAATAGCACTTGGATTTTTTATTTCCAGGCTATAAATCCAGCCCTCCATCACCCCAGCCCCTCCACTGAGCATGGTCCCCCAGGAAGCTCTTTCCTTTCAGAGAAAGAAAACCAGGGTCCAGGAGAGGAAAGCTCCTATGTCCAGAGTAACCCTGGGATTTGGACCTTCTCTGACTCTGGACATAACTGGCTTGCTCGGTGGGGAAGGATGTTCTGCAGGTGGAGGGTGAATGGGCGGGTGCTGGTCACTGCCCACCCACCACCTCAGCCCAGCCTCTGGGACTAATGGCCCGGAACAGTGCTATCACTTGCATCATTTGCATGTGGCATCAGAGAACCAGAGTTGCCAGGTCTCCTTGTTAGGAAATGATGAAATTGGAGGTTAGGAGGGGTCACGGCCAGTTTACTTCACCCGAGGGGGAGTGGATATGAGTTGAGGTGGGAGTGCCTTTAGCCAGCATTGATGGGGCCTTGTCCCAGCCCCAGGCCTGACTGCACAGGGGTGGGGGTGGGCCTGGGGAGCTACAGGACCCGCCCTTGCCCCCCCGGGGCTCCATGGCCAACCAAACCCAGGCTTGGAGCTTCAGATGGCAGAGGAGGAGGGGAGGAGGGGTGAGGAGCCCCAGGAGCCTGGAGGCCAGGAGTGGCACCAGGGATCTGGGCCAGGGTCAGGTGGCGTTGACAGCTACAGCCAGATTTGGAGCTAGCAAACCAAGGAAGGCTGGGTATTCCAGGATGAAGGAGGAAGGAAGACGTAAAGCATGAACTTGAGCCCAGATCCCTGTATTTGAGATCTCAGTTTTCCTGGAAATGGGATCTGCCTCACTCCTGAGAGGGGACTTGGAATTGGCCACTTCAGGAGTTGGGAGGTCCTGGGGTCTGGCTGTTTGCCTCTCAGCTGGCCAGGAATCGGCGCTCTCGGAGAGAGTGAGGACAGGTTCTTGTGCTTGCCAAGAACCTACCTGAGGCCCAGCCTGAGTCAACTAGGCCAGGGGCTGGGGCCTTCATCTGTGGTACTTCCAGGTCCAGCCAAGCTTTGGATGGGACTGCCACCGGCTGGGCCTCAGCAGCACAGGCCTTGTCTCTGGTTCCCTGGCACGACGCCCACCCCTCCCTCCCTGGCTCCAGCTTCCCTTGGCACTGAGTGAGGAGCTGGTGCATGCTCAAGGAGTAAATCATGTTCCTTGGCAGCCCCCGCTGCTTCGTAATC